TTATTTTCTTGTGATTTTTATGGGTCAGGAACTAGGGCAGGGCTTAGGATGGATGGTTCATCTCTGCTCTACATGTCTGGGACTTCACATGCAATGGCTCAAACACCTTAGATAAGCTGGTGTGGCTGGGTCTCTCCCCTCTCATCGTGTCAGCTAAGGTAGCTAGACTGGCCTGGGGCATCCAAAACGGATTCATTTGCACGTCTGGGGCTTGGTCTTTGCTGTGGGCTGGGACCTTTCAGTTCTCCTTCACATAAATTCTCTCTCAGTATGTGGTCTTTATCGTTCAAAACCATGTGATTGGTTTCCAAGAGGGTGAAAATGAAAACTGCAAGGTCTCTTAAGGCCTGTCCTGGAGATCACACAGCATTATTCTCAACACATTCTCTTGGTCAAAGTAAATCATAAGACCAGCTGAATTCAAGGGCAGGTGAACAGACGTCACCTCCTGAGGGGGAGAGTAGCATGCACACACCGGGTTGGGAGGACCGTTGGTGGGCATCCTTGCACAGAATCTCCTTAGCCAGCCACAGACACCAAGGTTGCTTGCTCTTTCTTCCTGTCCACAGGGCACTTTGTCCCTGTTTTTCACTACAGGTCTATTCATTCTTTCCCTGCCTTCTCTTTTTCTCTGAGCACCGAGTTTAAACAAAGCTTCCCTAGAAAGGGCAAACAAACAAAATATCTTAAACTAGGTAGCTTATAAACAGAAGTTTATTACTCACAGTTCTGGAGGCTGGGAAGTCTGAGATCAAGACACTGGCAAATTCGGTGTCTGGTGAGGACCTGTTTCCTGGTTCATAGAAGGCCATTTTCTCGTAGAGTCCTCACGTGGCAGAAGGGACCAGGGATCTCTCTGGGGCCTTTTTTATAAGGGCATTAATCTCATTCATAAGGATTCCACCCTCATGATCTAATCACCTCCCAAATGCAATATCTCCTAATACCATCATCTTGGGAGTTAGGATTTCAATATATGAATTTGGGAGGCTGGTCACAAACGATAAAATCATGGCACCTTACCTTTATGGGTTCTGAATCTATAGCCAACAAATGAGTTGCTGAATCCCTATTCCTCTAAGAAGTGGTATAGGGGCAGTTAAAAATCACTAGGCAATCCTCTCCTCTAGACCAGAAATCTCAATGCCCTCAGGTATTTCATGAACAGTTTTCTACAGCTCACTTGGGAACTAACCTTCAAGAAAAAAGCATTACCCAATAGTAGGTATTTGACAGTGCATGTGGCTGTGGATAATGTTGAATAGTAGCATAAAACCATTTGGAGAGCTTTTAAGAAGCAGTCTATGAAAATGTAGTTTATATTTTGATTTTTAAAGCTCTAAATCAAAAGAAAAACCAATTTCTATCAGAGTCCATTGTTGTCTGATGAGTGAGGGGGCGATTTTTTATCTTGATGCCTTTCTCTACACACACACACACACACACACACACACACACACACACACACACCATGCTCTGTTACCAGGTAAAAGCACTGTTTCCATAAACAGCAAAGAGACAAGCATCAAAGAGGTCATTCACCTTGTCCGAGTGAAGAGGGTTGCGTGCAGCGAATCAGGGACTTTCTAATTCTATACAAATGTCCTTCTGGTCCAAGGATGGGTGACAGAGATCTAGGCACCTCCCTACTTTTGGCAGCAATTGGAGTAGGGTTTCTTAATCTGAGGTTCAAGGAAAGTGTGAACTTCCTGAAATTATATACAACTTTTAGCATGTGTGTTCCTTTTTCTACCCTGGTATCTGTAGCTTTTATCAGATTTCCAAAGGGGTCTATGAAACCCCTTTTCCCTCTCTCTCCAATCACCTAAAGCCAAAACCTGTTGAGAATGAACAAATACCCCTCAGGGTTTGTGATGACTGAATGATACATGAGATTTATTGGGGTCACTTTTTAAAAATAAGGGCTTGCTTCTGCTGGGGTGCTTTTCTTTCTGGTACATGAGGGGCAGATATAAAAACAGTCACCATCAAATAAGGGCAGTGCAAAGGGACCCAGAGCTCAGTGGAAGCATGAGGCCAGGGCTGATGGCTGAAGATTCTTTTGCTGTTGAAACACACAGAGGTTGGAGAGGTACAGCTTTTAAGTTTGGTAATCACAGCAAAGCTTCTCTGCTTCCCTGCTTCCCAGAGCAGGGACAGAGTGGTCCCTTATCTGACACACTTTACCTGAGATGCACGTGGATTCAGCCAGCCAGTCTCCAGGCAGAACCTGGCATCTCGCTGGGTCATCAGGCTCTCCTTGTGTCCCAGAACGGGGTCTGTTAGAAGTGGGAAATTGCTGGACTGTTCCAAAGGCGTTCCTCCACCCTATGGTTCCACTTCCTTCTCTTCCAAGTATGACTGGGACACATACCCTAAAACAAGCAAAGGTTATCTCCCCTGCCGATAGTCACAGGCTTCTTCTGGGATTCACTAAGCCATAGCCTGTAAAGACCCATGAAGCAAACTACCAGCAGAGATGCACCAGGGGAGTGAAAGTAACAAAGGGGGAAACTCTTATCAAGAGGATTCGCTTTCTTCCTCTGTCCACCTGCTCCTCTGTCTCTCTTGCTGAGGCTGATTTCCCAGAACTCATTTCTGCTAGGTAAATAGCAACCAGAACATCAATTTCTGTTCAATGCCGGCAGCCTTGACAGTTGCCGTCCTTCATTCAAACATGTGAATGCTTTGCACATTTCTAAATTGCACATTTCTCATTTAGCACACCTTGAAAGGCTGTGCTGTCACTCGCTCATAATCTCAGAGGAGAGTGTTTGCACGAGCCATGGATGGCACCGGGCAGCTCCGTGGAGGTGTCAAAGCAGCAAAAGGGGACCCTTGAGCAGATCAGCTTACTTCAGGGAGAGACGTCAGCTTCAGCAATTAGGTTTCTAAAAACCCGATGACGAGGAACACATACAGATGATTACTAACCACTATTGAAGACAGTTGTGTGTGTGTGTGTTAAGATGCATAAAAAGAGTTTATGTTGTTTCCTGCAGGAGAGGACTGATAACAATGGTGTATTTGTCACACACCATCTGTAAGGTGACCTTTACCTCTGGACGACTCTAGACTAGTTTTCAGTCATCATCTGTTGCTGTTTCCTAGCTGTTAGGGAGGCTTAAGACGTCTTAGTAAGCTACCTGCCCCTCTGAGGCCCCATTCTACTCTATGGGTACAAATATTTCAATGGCACTTTCACATATATTCTTATAGATCATTCTTCCAGCAACCTAGGAAGCAGGTATTAAGAGCTCCATTCTTCAGATGCAGAAACTGAGGCTCAGAGAAACTGGGATACTTGCCCAAATTCACACAGCTAGGAAGGGGCAGGGCCTGGTTGGTTTTGAGGTCTTCCAAAGCGAGTCCTGGGTATAGTCCACCTGACCCAAGGCAGCCCCATTCTTAGCCACCTCAATAAGACTTAAGGTGCTGAATAATGTTAGGGTTAGAGAATTTCATTCCCTGCTGTCTTTTTCTTTGGCCTTGGCTGGATGCACTGTATTCTTTAGTTTCTTGGCCCAAGAGGAAGTAGACAGTGATGACAGTATTCTGAGACTTAATTAACTAATGTCTTTAACATTCAGCTGCCTTGGGCAAAAAGTTCTATGCTACAATATTCTAAGAAAATTCTATGGACAGATGATCTAGCTTTTCAGTTGCAAAAGTCCTTTATTACAAGGGTTGGGGAGGCGGAGTGAGGAGGTCTTCTCTCATGCAGCCAGGCAGAGAAGAGAGCTGGGCATCAGAGAGCAGAAAGCCAGCTGCTGGCTGCCACCACCACGCAATCTCAGGAGCGAGGAATGAGAAGTGACTCAGATCAGCCCTCGCTCCCACTCCCGAGGAGAAGTGGCTCTCAAGGTGCCACGTGATGGACAGGTGACCTTGGTTAGGGTGACTTGCTTCCTTATTGTGCAACAACATCTCGGTGTGGTGTAGGGGAGCACTGCCCCCTGAGATTTGCTGTCTCAGCCTTCATGATAAACACGGCTAAATGAATTAGCAAGAAAAAATTTAATTGAATTTTATAGAGATTGTTTTGCTTATCTTGTCTTTGCTAACAAAACTGAAACAATTCTGGAGTTGTCATGGGCTTTTCTCTTCCCCCTTCTTTTTCACAAATCTCCCACAATACTCAGTGCTGGGAGATGCCCAGGCAGGAGCTTGTACTGCAGATCACATTCCAAGCCTTGCCATTTCAAGGCCTCCGTGGAGACTGCTTTTTATTTGCCACTGAAGCCTGGGGATTACTTTGATATGGGGGCCACATGGCTCACCATTGTTTCTAAGCAGAATCATGATCCAGTCTCACTGATTAGAAAGGGATGCACGGGGGAGGCGAGAGGCTGGAGGTTACCAGTATCAGGTTTAGTAAATCATGCCCATGTCAAAGGACTACCCTTGAGCACCTCAAATGCCACCTGCACTCTCAGCCTAGGGAAAGCATTCCTTTCAGAGGGGAGGAGAGCAGGAGGAGGCAGCTTCAGTGTGGAGTTTGGGGCTGTTGGTGTAAGGCTGAAGTTTCATAGGAAGAAGATGAGCTGATGAGGTTGAAAACAGCTGTTTCCATTTCCTTTAGGAGAGCCCCACACTCTTGTCTCAATGCTCAGTAACCCTGTGACATGCTTACGGGCTGCCATCAACATACTTAATGATCCTGCGCCAACCGCACAGGCCACAAATCACTCTGTGGAGATGCCTCCCCTGTCTGAGAGGCTGCCCAAGGTGTCTGGATTCCTCGACTTGAGACAGGGGAGGGAGACCGCGGCTCAGGTAAGGACTCTCCTCATGGAGTCACTGAATGAGGCAGCTGACCCCATTGCAAAAGTCGAAGCTGAGAGATAGAGAGAGAGAGAGAGAGAGGGAAAGGGAGACAGAGGCATCTGGAACAGCAGAAATGCTTGAAGTGTGTTCTCTCCCCTACGGCCCTGGTGCCTTCGTTTTCTGAAGGGTCACAGGAGCGACTGGAGTGGAGGCTTGATGGGCAGCTCACTGTTGGAGAAGAGAAGGTTAGGAAATAGGGCTGAGGCAGGAGCAAGGAGAATTGGGGCCTGTGGTTTCCTCCTTAGGAGCCTCCAGCCCAGTGCCCACTTGCGATTGCTTTAATGATTCCAGCAAGTTGGCTAAGACCCCTCCAATCTGCCTTTCTAAGAATCACATTCAGTTCCCAGAGGTTTCCAGGGGCAAGGATGGTAATCTAATTGATGTGTCTTACCATGAGTGCCCTTCCTCTTCTCTCTATCAAATAGGGATTAACAGTGTTTGTGGGAGGATTTTTTCCCTCTCGCCTCCAGTCACGCCACAGCCACCTTGTTCTTTGCAGCGAGTGAGGACTTTCTGCTGACAGGGAGTTCTGTGGACTCCATTGCAGATTTTTGACTGTAGCACATTCCATCTGTGGCAGTCACAGCAGCTGGAGGTCCTGGGAGTTCTAGCGTGGGATTCTGGGCCTGAGCTCACCGGGGGCATCCAGGCTTGGAAGTGTGAAGCCAGAGCTGTGTGTGGGGAGTGGGGTTCCCAGGAGTGGCCCCTGGCTCCCAAGTGGTGCTGTGTCACTGACTCAGCACACACGAGGGGACACCGGGTTCCATTTTCCCATCCATTAGAAGTGACTGCTAAATCCTGGCTGGTCGCCCTCCTGAAGTGGTTTGAGATTGATTTTGTAAAGCTGGCAGGCAGGATTAGGCCGTGCCACTCAGCAGAGCTGCTAGGGAACACTTGCTAGAAATGCTAAAGACGATGAGACTGACGGGTCAGCCCTGGCCCACGGAACACACCAAGTCAGCAGAGCAGGGGGCTAACGTGTCCTGAAGTTTGTCACATCTGAGAGGTGGGAGTGGCTCAGTGGAGTGTCATGGGCCCAGGTGGCCGGGCCCAGTACCCACGCACAGACACCGTTCACTCTGTCCTTTTAATGTCCATCCTAGGCCAGGACGATTGCTCTCTCCACTTTGTAGTCAAGGTCACACTGGGGCACACTGAGGTTAAGGACCTTTCCTATTACTACACTGTTAGGAATTGGCAGGATCAGGATTTGAACCCAGGGAGTCCAGTTTCAGAACCTGAGGGTTGTAGGAAAAAACCCACTGGAAAAGTGGGGAAGCAGGAAAGATATTGGAGGAGAAGCCTCGGTTCTGGGGCTGACTGCAGTGGAACCACTGAGAGACCAGGCATGTCCTTTCACAGCCCTACACTGTAGGCCCTTTACCTGTACAATGAGGTTTTTGCGAAGATCATCCCTTCTATCTCTAAAATCGAGAAAACTGTAGTTCAGCATGCTTGGGGGGCACGGTGTTCCTGTAGAACAGCTGGACAATCACCAGAAGCTCAGGAGCAGAAGAAACCAGATATTGTAATAACAACCACCACAAGCACAATTGCCACCACAATTGCTCACATTTACTGACACTTGTTAGGTGCCAGACACTAAGTCTTTTGCAGGTATTATTTCATAACAGATCTAGGAGGTAGCTACTAATGCCATTCCTACTTTATGGATCCAGTAACTAAGGCCCAGAAAGGTTAATAAAGTCACCGAATATCACACAGCTTATAAGTGGTGGGAGCCTGAAGCATTTCTCCCTGCCCTCTGTTCCCACCAAGTCTGTTTCCTCCCCGCTGCACCTGATGTGACAGCACATCCAAGAGCTCCAGAGAAGACAGTGTTTGGGGTTAACAGAAGAACGGTCTTCCCGAATGCAATTTCCACCAGCAGCTGCTGGTAGGCATCTGGGCTCGGGAGACTTCCTTTAAGCTCATCTGAGGGCTGAAGATGGGTTCCCCGGATGACCCTGAGGAGACGGTCAGCTTTCAGCTGTGTTCTACCTTTAAGCACCTTGGGGCACTAGATGTTGGAAACTCATATCAGAGGGCTTTGCCTTTTGTTTTCTTACCTTTTGATTATATATTGAACTAAAATGTCAGCAGAGGAGTAGAGGACAAATAGGCTTTGCATTAATGTTTAATTGCAGTAAACATTTTCCAGGAAAAATTTAATTGCAGACTAGAAAACAAAGAAACAGGAGGAAGAGGAAAGAGTTGATTCCTAAGTGCTGAAAAGGGAGGGGGAAGAGTGTGGGTGTAAGAGAGTAAAAATGTATCCTTCTGGTCATGAGATTGCACCTGGAGCCAGGTGGACATCTGGGAAGAGGATGAGGCATGCATCTGTGCTAGGCAGGGCAGGCTACTTGCTGTGACAAATGACCCCAAAGCCCAGGCAGTTTTACTCTCCTTCCCCACCAGAGTTTACTTTTCTCTAACCTCACCGACATCACAGCCCAATGAGGTTGGAGACTGGGGGACGTGAGGGATGGGCTCTGCTCCATCCAGCCACTGAGGGACCCACGCTCCTTCCACTCAAGTCGCTGACATT